ACAGAGCTGTCTCTATTGGGCTCAAACTGAGGAGCGTCTGACTGCATTCTTGTCCCTCCCTCCTCCTTTCTCTATCCATCTCTATCTATTACCACCTCCATTATCTCCTCAGCTCTTCCTCCTCACAGCCCTCCCTCCTGTCTTCCATCTCCCTGCTTTCACCTGCTCTTCTGGAACAAATCCACAGCTGTCTCGGCTCACTCCGAGCAAGTGCACAGGCAACAGAACCAGCCACTGTTTTCTCACTGCAACCATTTGTCTGTCTGCAAACTCTAAAGGTAGACTGGAACTTTCTCAGCAATCCTAACATATTTGAAAGACAAAGTCTCGTGATAGCGCACTGCGTGGCAAAAACAAAAATTTTTTAAGTTCAGAAAAAAAGGAAAGAGAAGGCGGGTTATTTAAACAGCAAATGTGATTAGTCCAAAAATGTCTCTCATATGCCACCAAGGGGATTGCTTTGAGCTTGCCTTGCCCTCACTCCCGTTCAGTAACTCCTAAAGTGCACTTGATTTTCAACAAACCCCAACCACACTGCTCCAAATGACAGAAGGGTGTGTGCTCTGAAAGAACAGAGGGCTCCATTCAGCGCAGTGCCGTTTTCTGCAAATGTTAGCTCTGCCAAGACATTAGCTCTGCCCCACAATGCGACTCTTATCAGCCAGAGGGTGACCTGTTAATGGTGATGTAGCATTAGCATGCTGCAAACAGACTTCGAAGAAAAGGAATGCCTATAAATATGCTCTGACAACCACGGAGAAACCGTTAAAATCACTGAAATTCCAGGTTTTAGTAGCGACTGTCTACATTGAAATGCCTTATGGATGTTTTATGACTTTGCTTCCTTTATGGTATCAAATCTGGTAGGTTTTACATGCACAGGAATAAGGTCTCATCATCATTGCATAATTCTGATTGAACTTTACTGTTAACCTGTTGGACTGGGCCTGAGCTACTCTGATCAGATTTCTAATCTGCAAAGCAATTAATCAAAACAGCCCGTCTGAATCTCTGATGGCTGTTTTAAGCTCCTTATTCACACGCCATGAAAATAAAAGTAGAATTAAAACATAACTGAAGAATAAGCTTTTTGATTTCCCGAAAAACTCAGACAAAATCAAAACAAAAAGGTATAATTAGAAATGCGCCAATCAGGTTTTTCCCGCTTACTACAGATTTTCTGGTTTACTTTCAGATTTGATTCCACATTTTGTAAATATTTCACACATAAAGGGAAAGAAAAATGCTCTTTGCTCACTGTTAAAGTAAGGGATTGAAGATTTTTCCTTTAGTGATCAAAAGCATATATTTACCTTCCTAAAATAATGGTGATTTTTTTTTTTTTTTTTGCCAAAAGGTATTTTTGGAAAAAGCAATCACCGCTTTATTTCCAAAACGTATTCTAGGGAGAAAAAAAAAAAAACTTTTGGCAAAAATTATGTAGGCCATTATCTTATGAAGGTGACATGTTTATTGTTGATGTCTTAATTAACCAGAAAAAAACTGGACTTTTATTTATTAATTTAACAAGAAATGAATCAGATAGGAGAATATTAAGGTTGTCGATTATTGGCGTATCTCTAACTTAAATAATTAGTGTCTAATAGATAAATGACTTGTTTCTCAAAAAGTCACCAAACCTACCAAAGTATTCCTTTTTCATGTGCATCTCCAGCTCCTTCTCCAGCTCCAAGGTGAGCGCCTCCAGCCGTTTCTCCGCCTGGCTCGGCCCATTCTCTCGGCTGGGGGTCACCTGGTAAGGTAACTTATACCTCTGCCCTGACGAGGCCGTCTTTGACGACACGCCGTAGCTGAAGGAGAACGGCGAGCCGGCGCTTATCTCCACCGTCCCTCCCGCTTGAGCCAGCTGCGGCTGCGGTTCGGACACCGTCTGCAGATGGCTGCGAATCTGAGCCCCGTTAGACTCTCCGAACTCCTGCAGTAAGGTGTCCTCCGGTAGACCGCTGCCCAGCATGGATGACCTGGGCGAGGGCAGCTGCAGGTCCGGGTAGGTGCTCATTGACCCCCGGGAGCTGCGGGAGCTTCTGGAGCTGTGGCTGGAGATGCTGGACCGCGGGCTGACCACGCAGTTCGCCGCATTCCCCGGCCTGGCGCTCCCGTCGTGGCTGCAGATGCTGGAGCGGGGACTGGCCAGCGGCGCGGCGTGCAGCATCATGGACCCCTCCAGGTCGTGGTTGACCACAGGCCCGTACCGCGAGTCAGAGTAGCTGGATCTCGGGCTGGTGGTGAAGGAGTACTGGCTGGCCGTGCTCGACCTGGGGCTGGTGTGCCGCTGGTCGTAGCCCATGCTGATGCCGCTGGTTCGGTTGCTGCTGGGCTTGCTGCAGCAATCGCAGCTGTTGAGGCTGGTCCGGGGGCTGGAGTGTTTGCTCGTGTCACTGGCCGTGCTTGCATAGCTGGATCGAGGGCTGAGGATGCTGTTGCCCTCACTGTGAACCAAGCTGGACCTGGGGCTGGTGTACCTATCCTGACCCGGTACCACCAGGCTGGTGCGCGGGCTGCTGATGCTCGATCGCGGGCTGGCATGCTTGCTTTGCTCCTGAGAGGACAGGGACGATGCCAGGCTGGAGCGGGGACTGGCGGCACCGTACCTCCCATCGTGGCTGCTGGTTATGCAGACACTGTTGCACCTGTTGCCGGGCAGCGGCACCGCTTTGTTGAGAGGCACTCCGTCAAAGGTGGAGCCGGTGCTGTACCTGTGGCCCTGCACCTCTAACGAGTACCTCCGGTGCCTCTCGGACGTGCCAGAGTAGCACGGCAGAGCCACTTCGGATTTGGTGCAGCAGCCCTCCTCGCTGTACGGAGAGTCTCTCTGAGGGGCGCAGAAATCCACAGGAACCGGCCGGCTGCAGTTCACGGGACGCACAGGAGCCGCGTTGTACACTTTATTCCCCGGCGTGAAATTCTCCAAAGTGTGATGCTGCTGGTGGAGCACAGAGGTACCATTCATCGGCTTGGTTTTCAGCCCCGCCACCGCCGGAGCGGAGAAGTCCAAATCTGGGTTTATCACCAAGTCCCTCCTCGCGTTGTACATCCCGTCTTTGTAGGCTTCGTACAGGGAAAGGTCCTCCATCAGGGTAGCGGCCCGGAGTCCCAGGTCCTCCTCATAATGCTCCATGTTGCGCTCCAGAGGCGAGAAACAAGTTGAGAGTGCGCTGCGCTCCGCGGAGCTCTAATTGCGTTTCACATGGAAATCAAAACAAAACGCCGCCGCGCAGCCGTCGCTCCTTCACGCAAAACCTCCAGCCGAGGCGCAAACCAGCACCGCGAGCCGCATCGTCCCCTTCCGCTTCCCTCCCAGCGCCGAAAACCAAACTCTTTCTCACAGTATCAGCCGACAGCGATGCGTTTGTCAACTTCAGTTTTTGTTAAGTTGAAAGGTCTTTACAGTCAATGGCGCGCTGCGCGGAGGAATTTCTCCTTGTTGGTTTTTCCTCTAGATTTTCCTTACAGCCGCTTCAGTGGAAACCAGACCGTGTTGGATAATCCCATATTCCACACATATGCTTCTTATTCCGGTATGTGCGCAGGGAGAGCAGGGGATTTGAATTTAAAGGCGTTTTTACGCGGCGGACTCGTTCGCCTCTCTGGAATGTGGGGAAGGAGACGGGATGCGATGCGCCTCTCTGGAATGTGGTTAATGCTGCAGAGAAACAATGATTGCGACCAACTCAGCAAGGGGCTGCCCGAGTCTGAAGAGAATAGTTTAGAGAGAAGGGGACATCTGCATTCATCCTGTGCAGACTGAAATACGCCACAAAGCATGCTTCACCTGGCCCGAGTCCTCCTGCAGCAGAAACGCCGTTCACTCAGCAGAGATCAACAGGAGTTTCTCTGCTTTTTATTTCTCGATTGCACGATTTATCTGAAAGAAAACGCGCTAAAAATTCTTTATTTAGCGCCAGTTACCAAATTATAAAGCTATAAGCTATATAAAATGCATCAGAAAATCGTTACCAAGTTAATTTCAGTAAAATCAAATCAAAAAGTGAAACATATTATTTTATTTAATATGTATATTTCAAGCTTATATTTCTGTTAGTTTTGATTATTATATCTTGGTATATATTTGGTCTGGGCTCCTTTTACCTACAAGATCTCATCAATGCTGTGGAGAAATTAAGTTGTGCTTATTTTGTCCATTTTGCTAAAAGTGGCCTTCAGCTGCCTGTGTAGTTCATTTAGATGTCTGTCATCTTCACAAAACTCCACAGATTGTTTGTTTGGTTTAGGTCCATCACAGTGACTATTAAAGCAGATATTAGGACTTTTTTGCCAGTGTTGTTCACTGAAAAATACAGCAGGAAAATTAAATAAGCATTTTCAAAAAGTCTGTCAGATTAGCTAAAAGCTGATCTAATATTTCCTGGTGGGTTTGATAAAAATGAATGGATCTACACCAACTGATGACACAACTCACCAAATCATCATTGACTGTGAAAACTTCACACTGGCTCTCAGAAAGCTTGGATTCTGTGACTTGTCATTGTTCATCCAGATTCTAGGCCTTTGAGTTCCAAATGAAATATAAAATTTAGCTGAGAAGACGACTTTGGACCACTAAGCAACACTCCAGCATTTTTCCCTCTTCAGCTTTGGTAAGATCCTTCTGATCTTGCCTGTAGTTCAGGAGTGACTTAACACAAGGAATGTGACAGTTGTATCCTTTCCTGGATACTTCAGTCTGGTGTTCTTGAATCTCTGACTCCAACGGCTGTCAACGCCTTATGAATGAATATCCCTCAACCTGCTGAATAGGCTTTGCCTCAAAATCCTCTAGCAACTGCTTATTCTTGTTACAAGAGCACCTTTTCTACGTTTTTCTTTCCAACTAAGGATTTTGTGAAAACTCACGTTGTCCATGGCTTTCTGCTGCTCAACGGTCAAGTTAGCAGCGTTTCAATAGAGTAGAGCGTAACATCACATTTCTGTTTCCATTCGCTGTAAGGACATGGCTGCTAAAAGTAAGTACTACGCTGTACAAACAAATTCATTCTGTTTATTTATAGTGTGAAAGTGTAACAAATGCTGTCTTAAAGGCACTTTACAATGAGATCCAATTCATCTGCAGAAACATAGAATTTAATTTGGTCCAAGTGCAGTTCAAAATAATTCAATCAAGTCACATTCATATCCAATTACATACAGTGTAACTCAGCCCTGTTTCTAACACAGTACAGTGAAAGTTGGAAAAAGCAATCCATCCCAGGAAGTCCGGCTGAGTGCTTAGAGTTACCATCAATTCCTCCTACTGAGAGAGCATAACTTTAATGTAAGAAAGTGTACAAAATCATATTTTTATTCCTAAAACATTGTTGATATTCTGAGTTTGACTTTAAAAAAAAAAAAACAATGAATGTTGATCACAGTTGTCAGACTGCATTAACTTCTAATAATACGGATAAAGTATATCAATAAACCATGTAATTATGAGTCTTTATCCCGATCGGCTGAATGAAAACAGAGAGGTAGTGTTGTTTGAGTCATTATAAGCAACAAAGAGTTTTCTTTTGTTTTTAGCTTCAAATGAAACACATGATTGATTTCTGCGTTGAAGTGTGAAGATTTTAAATCAATTAAAACATAAAAAGCAAAGAATCTGTCTCTTCATCAAGCATCTGAAGCACTTTGTGTTACACTTTGCTGTATAAGTTCATTTTGATTGACTGATTGCAGCTTAAAGAGCTTTTCATCAGCTGCCAGCAACTGGCAGGAACGACAAAACCACAGCAATAAAAGCAGAAACAAACAGGAAGTTGAGTATGAATCTCCTGAAGACGGAGCCGTGACGTCTCTTCCCGTGGCCTCTGCTTTTGAACCACTGCACCACCTCGTCCAAGTTGTGCTTCTGCGGCTCATATCCCAGCTCCGCTTTGGCCTTTGCCATGCTGAAATAATGCGTGACTCCAGTTTTATACACCTCGGTGCGCGTTAGCAGGGGCTGAAAGTTGTAGAACGGGCCGATGAGATGGTGAATCATTTCGGTGAGAAAGGCAAACAGGTAGATGAGAGAGATGGGGAGGCGGAGTTTCGGGAAAGGGTAACCTAAGCCTTCAACCAGAGGTCGGAAGAATTCAAAGTTATTGACCGGCCTGCCGTCAGAAATGAAGTAAGCCTGGCCAGCAGAGCGATGCTGCTTCTCTGAAGTTAAAGCCTCTGCAGCTAGCATGTGGGCAGACACCAGGTTATCCACGTGGACAAACTCCACCAAACTGCTGGGACTACCATAAACAAACCTAAAGATCCCACTCTCTATGTAGCTAACTATCCTAGGCAGGTGCCTCTGCTCACCAGGCCCATAGATACCTGCTGGGCGCAGGGCACAGGTTCTCAGGACCCCAGGGCTACCAAACAGAGCTGCTCCGTTTGCCTGTAGCACTGCCATCTCCGCCAAGGACTTGGTTCTAGAGTAGTGGTCGGGATGAAGGTGGAGCGGCAGATAAGGAAGACTTTCATCGCCATTCTCTATCACTTGGCCTCCAAAAACCACATTGAAAGTACTGGTGTAAACCAACCTTGATACTCTGTTCTCCACACAAGCTCTCAGGATGTTCTTCGTCCCCTGAACGTTGACTGCCTCAATCAGGCGTCGATTCAGCTGCTCTCTACCAGACATCCCATAAGAGGCTATGTGAAACACACAATCTACACCAAACACGGCCTTCTCAACTTGTGCATAGTCACGAATATCTCCTTGCACAAACATCATGTCTTCAGGAAGTTCTTGGCGTGGAGGAATGGTGTCAAATAGAGCGATTCTGGCTCCTCTTTTATGCAGAGCGCAAGCTAGGCTGCAAATAAAGAAATTAATATGAATCTCATTAAAACTTATACAGATCTTCTACTTTGACTAAACACTTCAATAAAAAAAATACACCAAATCAAAGACTTTCTTATATGCCTTTGGAGCAAAAAACAGTGTGACTATGCCATCTTGTGGACATGAAGCAGAATTGCATAGTGTACTTTGCTTAAATTTAATAATTTTGATAAATAAATGGAAAATTGTTCTTACCGAAATCCAAAATAGCCACAACCTCCTGTCAATAAAAACACATTTTTGTCCATCTGCCTGCTTTCCATTGCAAGAGCGGCAATCTGTGAATTTAGATTACAGAAATTTAGAAGATTAGAGACAAAAGTGACTACATTTTTAAAAATAATCAAAACAATTGACAATCTAAGCGTGTTTCTAGTTATTTTATTCCATTTGGTAGTATTTTACTTTTTCTTGTATTCTGACTTTATTTTATTATTTGTTTGCACAGCAAACTTCTGTTGTTTTAAATCTAACAATGGCATCTACTTGAGCTTTGCCCTTAACTTTGATTCTATGTTGTGAAATTACTTCTCATATCTGTAGTTATGGTCACTGCATAAAAAACATAATCCCTCACATTTTAAACAGATCTTCAGATATGAAAACACTTTTGGTTGGTTATTTGCATAATCTTTATGTTTGCTCATATTGTGACGTCATACCTTTTAAGCTGAAAACTGCATAAAATCTAAAGCTCTCCTCAAAATTGGACAGGATACACGAAAAATATTTTTGCAGTAAATCACATTACATTTTTGCTACTGTTTGGAAAGCTCCAAGTCCCACAACAGCCCAGCGTTAGCCTACATACAGCAATGTATGTAGGCTGTCTGCTGTGGCAGACAGCAATGTGCATAGCTATCCACTCAGATATTAACTAGTGGCACCCACCTCTTCAAAAGCTGGAACACAACGACAGAAATGCTCACTGTACTGATAGCAGCAGGCAGAGCAGTCCGGCGAGCACTTCCCTGATCTGTTACGTATTCACGTCCGATCACTGAAACGTATAGACGTACGAAAACAAGACGCTGTTCGCCAGCGGCGTTCGCCATTTTGCGAGTGACAAGGTCTTTCAAAACAAATAAAAAAGATAATACAATAAAGACTCCTGGATTTAAAAAGCAATGGACTTTTTGTTGGAGATTTATATCTCAGAGTAACATGCTGTTACACTGAGATAAACTAATGTTATAACCGCAAGCAAATGCCACTAGCAATATGGCGGTCGCGTGGTGTCTATGTAATCTAGGACTATGGTTTTGTTGCATCGGTATGCGGAATACGAAGAGTTTTACATATTATATAAGTTCAAAATATAAAAATTTAACCTTAGCACTTTAAATTAAATTAAATTATTTAGCAGCTGAACTCAATCATAGCATCGATAAGTCGAATTTCAATTAGTTCATTAAAATGTATTTTTTTCTAAACCGGAAACCTTTGTATTTTTTTCCAGAATAACAGTAGAAATATTTTGAAGCTTTGACTACAGGAATCTTCTTCTAACTTCTGTATGACACATTAAAAACATAACACAATTCCTTGAAATGCTGTAAATTATGACGTGCAACCAAATGTAGAAAGAAAAATGAGGTATGTTTAGTTATTTTGAAGTGCCCTCTAGTGGTCATAGTTTAGTATTTTTTTTCTTAGCCACAAGATTCCTGGAGGCCGCCGCACATTCAGAGAACTAAGCAGTTATCTGTGTTATCAGCACCAAACAGCGACTACACTCCCAGAACCGCAGGCTGTAATGTCGTCCGCTGGAGGTGAGAGTTCACTTTTAAAACACTGAACAAAGGTTTTCCAGATCGATCGGTGAACTCGTTGCAGTGTGCAGGAACTCGTTGCAGCGTGCAGAAAGAGCATCTTATCGTGATGGTCGATTCTCGCGAGCTTTTATTCAGGTTACATTGTCTTGATTTAGTTGTAACCATAAAATGATTCTAATGACTTTTGTTATGATAATGACTATTATTTTAGTTTTGCATGTGCAGCTGTAGATGCGACCCTGGGTTAATATCTCTGCGTTTTAAAATACTTGTGTATGTAAGACAGTTGAGAACCATATGGATCCATTGGGGTAGACCAACACAAATAAGCGCATTACTGTGAATTTGCTAAAAGTGGCCTTCAGTTCGCCTATGTAGTTCACTAAGATGTCTGTCATCTTCACAAAACTCCACAGATTGTTTGTTTGGTTTAGGTCTGGCAGAGTGACTATTAAAGCAGATATTAGTACTTTTTGCCAGTGTTGTTCACTGAAAAGTACACAAAAAATATTCTGTATCCTTTAAAATGAGGGCATTACTGTGATGCTTAGGAAAATGACACATTATTTTCAACATCTCTTAACCAAAACCATGCATTATTTTTCTTCCACTTTCCAATTTAGCTTGTTCACATATAAAATCCCTATAAAATATAGTGAGATTTGTGGTTGCACTGTGAAAGGTAGAATGATTTTTTTTTTTAATTAGATCATAATAACTGCAACAGATTTCTGTGAGACATAATTGAGTCAGTACTTTGCATTTTTCAGGTAAGATGAATTTGGAGGAGTACTTTCAAAGAATTGGCTTCCATGGCCCCTCTGATAAAATGGATCTTGCCACTTTGAGGTCCATCCACAAGCTGCATGTCATGTCCATCCCTTTTGAAAACCTCAGTATTCACTGTGGAGAGTGGATCACCATGGATCTGCAGTCTATTTTCAACAAGTTGGTGAGGAGCAGCCGGGGAGGCTGGTGCCTTGAGAACAACTACCTGTTTGGATGGGTTCTGAGAGAAATGGGCTTCAATGCCACAACATTGAGCTCCAGAGCTTTTAATAGAATCATTGCAGACTTTGGTGCTCTTGATTCTCACCTAATTCACAAGGTTATCATTGATGGGAAGCCTTATATAGCTGATGTAAGCTTTGGGGTCTCGTCTCAGATCTGGGAGCCACTGGAGCTTGTCTCTGGAAAGGATCAACCGCAGGCAGCAGGCGTGTTTCGTCTCATCGATAAGGGGGACATCTGGATCCTGGAGAAGACAGGCAGGACACCGAAGGTTCTCAATCCAGAATTTGCCAAATCCAGCCTGGTGAACAGGAAGGAGACTAAGCCAATCTACTGCTTCACCCTGGAACCTCGACAGGTTGATTATTTCATTGAGAAGAGTCAGAGAATCCAGAGAGATCCAGCCTCCCTCTTCACCAACAAGTCCATCTGCTCCCTGCAAACACCAACAGGATTCAGAGCTCTGATTGGCTGGATCTACAGTGAGGTCACCTACAAACCTGAAGAAAGGGTGGATGTGTTGGACATGAAGAACATAACAGAGGATGAGCTTGATCAAGTCCTGATGGAACAGTTTAATGTAAAGTTGCAGAACAAACTAAAACCTGTGTGCAACAAAACATTTTACACCCTTTGAAAAACCCCAAAAGAATTTGGAAACCATTAACCCAACAGTTTTGCATAGCATTATCATATATATTAGTATATGTTAGTTTAAAAAAGTTTAAATGTACTTTATAGATGTAGCATATTGATTTACCATACCTAACTCCACTTTGAAGAAATGTAAAACTGCTGATATTAATGAAAGGTCAACTGTGTGTGTTATACCAATAAAACAAGAAGAGTAATTAAAAAAAAGTTAAAGAAATCAAATCTTTCATAATCTTTAAGATAAACTTTCAAAATTCAAAGTGCAATTATTTCTGACATATTTATTGTGACATATTAATTAATTTGACAGATTTAGTCTTTTCTTTGTTGTAAACTGGACTAACATTTTAAGTGAGGGCAATTTGTACTTAAACTGCAATGCTTACCTTACTGCTTCCTTTGTATGTACAATTCCTTTTTAAATCATTTTACAGTAAAGTTTCATTTCACATGATTAACATTAGTGAGGTTCATTAAAGTATTACAATTTGTTTTGTTTTGAGTTCTTCGTCACTTTGCAAAAAACTGGACTGGTGACATGTCCAAGTGGTACCCTGCATTTTGCCTGTTGAAAAATAATGCATTTTCAGCCATGAAAGGATTAGTAGATATGGATGGGCGGGCGGGCGGATAGACTCTGTGTAAGCCATAATATTGCCTGCTTTAAAAATCACTGTTTCTGAGTCCTAATATTCATAATTTCTGAGAAACCAGTAGAAAATACAGATTTACATCTCTGTGTTGAATGTTTAGCATATGAGTGTCACTTTTTGCATGTCATCTATTTTTGAATGCACCTTGGATCAGATTTGATGGTGCAATCAGCTTCCAGGGTTTAGCAGGTCTAAAGTCTGCAGCTTTGGGAAATCTACAGTTCAAGGTGTCCCACTGTTTTTGTGCACAAGCTGCGTGATTACTTATGTTCTCTGTCTCTGTTAGCCTGACTCGGCAAATGATCAACTAATCCAATCGCTGCCATATATCTTATCTCAGCACTTTATTAGTGTGAAGTTGTTCAGTAGTTCTGACTCCTTGGTTGAGGTAAGGCGAAATAGTTTTTCTTTGTCTGTTCATTGTCGTGGGTTGCATTTTGGAAGATGTCTATTCTACATAGTTGCTAAAAAAATAGCTAAAACTGGAGTGTTTCCAACTGAGTGTGCTCATTTTCACATATGAGTAAATTTGGCTAAATAAATAACATCTTACATTTTTCAGATGAATTTGGAGGAGTACTTTCAAAGAATAGGCTTCCATGGTCCCTCTGATAAAATGGATCTCGCAACTTTGAGGTCCATCCACAAGCTGCATGTCATGTCCATCCCTTTTGAAAACCTCAGTATTCACTGTGGAGAGTGGATCACCATGGACCTGGAGACTATTTTCAACAAGTTGGTGAGGAGCAGCCGGGGAGGCTGGTGCCTTGAGAACAACTACCTGTTTGGATGGGTGCTGAGAGAAATGGGCTTCAATGCCACAATGTTGGGTGGCAGAGTTTTCAACACTATCACCAATGACTTTCCACCTGGGGAGAATCATCTCATCCAGAAGGTTATCATTGATGGGAAGGCTTATATAGCTGATGTAAGCTTTGGGGTCTCGTCTCAGATCTGGGAGCCGCTGGAGCTTGTCTCTGGAAAGGATCAACCGCAGGCAGCAGGCGTGTTTCGACTTACCAAAAAGGAGGACATGTGGATCCTGGAGAAGACAGGCAGGACACCGAAGGTTCTCAATCCAGAATTTGCCAAATCCAGCCTGGTGAACAGGAAGCAAACATATCAGATCTTCTGCTTCACCTTGCAGCCTCGAGAGCCAGAACATTTCGCAGAAAAAAGCCACACACTTCAAACAGATCCAGCTTCTCTGTTCACAAACAAGTCCATCTGCTCCCTGCAAACACCTACAGGATTCAAAGCTCTGATTGGCTGGGTCTACAGTGAGGTCACCTACAAACCTGAGGAAGGAGTGGATTTGTTGGATATGAGAAACATAACTGATGATGAGGTTGATCAAATCCTGAAGGAACAGTTTAATGTAAAGACACAGAATAAAATGAAGCCTGCGAACAAAAAGGTCTCCTACACAATTTAGAAGATACTAAACAACCTTTTGCATTGGGTTTTAAATGATTGCATTGAATGTGTTTATTAAATGACAAAAATATCACAACTGAATGTACTAAAGTTGGGCTTATCGCGTATTTTTATCAGATGATATTCCTTTGTTTTTATTCAGAATGTAAAACTGTTAAATAACATCAATATATTTGGGTAATGCCTTTATTTTGTACAACTCTTATATGGAAAACCTATGTTCTTTTTTTTAAGATAAGAGGAAATTAAATCCTAACTGTTCAGCATTTCTTCTTCCAATATGAATGTGCTCAAGTCACTTTTCTATGGAAATAAAGAACTCTACAGTTTAAAACACCCTTAAATCACAATAATTACTTAATAATTGTGTTACACACACACACACACACACACACACACACATATATATATATATATATATATATATATATATATATATATATATATATATATATATATTATATATATATATATATATATATATAATGTTTAAATGGGAAAGCAAAGGGACATTATGGAACGTCTGAGATTTCATTCAGCGTGAAACAGCGCCACCTGTTGTCCTCAATCTGTGACGTTTCAAATCAGGAAAAGACATTACGGTTTGGCCCGCCCTCCTCTGAGTTTTCCATCCAATAGAATTATGGTTGAAGATTTAGCCCGTTCTGATTGGTCAGCAGGTCGGTCCTTCATTTGAGACGGGAAGCAGAGCCACAACCAAACAGCGAACTGCTGTCGGCTTAGGACATGAATTCTTTGGAGCAGGCCGAAGGTAACAAATCCATAAAATAGTTCTTTTTACCCAGTTTGAAATATGTTTCAGGGGTCATGTAGATTTCTAAATAAAAATATAAAAGACAAATCAGAGGTTGTGATGTTGGGGAAATAGAAGCTGATATAAAGGCTGGCTAGGGTTATTAGCATACTTGCTAGCTTAGCAGGGAGGTATTTCTTTTTAGTTGACAATTGTGTAGTTTAACATCTATTCTTTGATTTTCTTTGGGTAATGTTGGGCTTTACAACAACATTAACGTTTTACGGTGGTTTTCTGTGTTTACATGTCTTAAATTAGAAGTAAAAATGTTATAAACTGAGCAGTTGTATTGATGTGTAAATCATATCAAAGTCCCAGTTTATTGGCAGCCACTCAGTTTGTCACCAGAAAAGCTTTGTCTGTCCTAACTCTCTGATGTTCACTGTTTTTGAACGTGTCCCTTATTCCAACAGACCTGAAGGCTTTTGAGAGGAGGCTAACGGAGTATATCTCCTGCTTACAACCTGCAACAGGCAGGTGGAGAAGTAAGTACCTGCTATTGCTGACGTGAAACATGATGTAACTTCCAGCATCTTCAGGGTAAAGCATACTGGCATTTAAAGTTGAATATTCACATTAGCTTTGAAGGGTTAAACAGTTTATGTCACTATAAATGTTCCCAAAGCAAAGTGACCTTCACTTATCAAACGTATTTCTGGTCATGTAGAATAATAGCAGCAAATGCATAAATCTCTTTTAAGGTAATAGAAATATGATGCTTAGCAGGAACACATTTTATGTGTTGTGTTTATTTTGGGTTTTATTTGACTAATGATTTCTTTTATTAGTTTATTTTAAGGCTTAGACAAGCTCATTGCAGAAACATATTCCACTGTAATGCACAAAGTTGAGTTACTACAGTACATTTAAAGATGTAGATTGTAGGCATGATTGTATTATGGCGCTACTTGTTTGACAAGATAAAGAATCACCATCATGTAAGGACATATAAGTATTCCTTACATTGAGGCAGCTGTCTCTGGAACTGTAGTGGACAGAAAATTAGGGTTTTTCTTAGATTTTATGCAGCGAGACAACTGGCTAGTTAATCAACTTTGTCTCCCAAGGAATGTTATTATTAAGTTATACCAATGTGCATTTAAATGTGCTGCACATTCAGACATAGACTGCCACTCTGGAAGTGTTAACGGGTAGTTGGGTTTGATTCTGTGATTGGCAAACATGCTTTCATAAATCATATGTTGAGCTGGTCCCAATGTCAGTACAGCACCCTAATCAACACCGCTGGTTGAAGATGTAGCTCTACTACAGGCAAACATCTAGGTATATTTTCTACAATCTTAATATTAGGACAGCCTTTGAATTTGCATAATGTGTATGTTAGCAAACATTTCATAATAGCTGCATGTTGAAACAAGTAATTTTAGCTTTGGAAAAAAACGTTCAAATTATAAGCTCCTTCATGTTTTAAATTGAGACTGTTACTGTGTTTTTAAGGCTGAAATTCTAAGAAAAAAAATATATATACTTCATTTAATATTCAAGCATCTCTATATTGAAGGTAGAGTAATTGATTTTATTACTTGTGTCTTATAACTGCATGTATGTAGGAGGATTCCAACGCTTGGTGATTAGGGAATATACAGTCTGTCAGTAGAGATGCATCAACTTTGCTAAATTCCTGAATAGCCACTACAATATATTGTTTGTAATGTTTTTCTTTTATCTCTTTTTCCAGTGATTTTGATAGTGGTGTCTGTTTGCACAGCCACAGGGGCTTGGAACTGGTTAATAGACCCCGACACTCAGAAGGTTTGTTACTTGAGGAAGTAAGCCAAATTGTGTGCATGCTTGCATTATGCAGCTTCACTGCAGCTTCTCCTCACATTCATATGACACAGATTTGCAATTCTAAGAATTACATGTATGATTTAAAAAAAATCTAAATAAATTCAAACCTCATTTCAGCTAAATTCCAGTGAGTTTCAAGAGAATGTTTGCTTTATGGGATTTCAATGTAATCGAAAAATACTCCTGAGTTTTGATCAGATGAGAGAAAAAAAAGTAAAACTTTGTCATACCAAACTTTCCTAACGGTGCTTCTCTCCCTTCTTGATTTGCAGGTTTCTTTTCTTTCATCACTTTGGAATCATCCCTTCTTCACCATCAGCTGCATCACCCTAATAGCGCTCTTCTTTGCTGGGATACACAAACGAGTTGTGGCACCTTCGATGTATCCTTTTTCTGCAGTAGTAAATATAATGTGGAACAGTTCATTTTGTTTTGAGTTAAACAGAATGTTTTTTTTTTTTTTTGGTTGTTTTTTTTTACATACTTGGTTGTAGTTTTTTCCTTGACGTTTGCACTTTCAGAATTGCTGCCCGCTGCCGCACAGTTTTAGCAGAATACAACATGTCCTGTGATGATGTAAGATTGTCGATTCCTGGGAAATTTACCTTTCATCTTTCTATGAATTTAACAATATTTTATTGAAATGTCTTGACAGACGGGAAAACTCATTCTCAAACCCCGACCGAACATTCAGTGACTACCACCTCGGTCGCTCTTTTCAGTTAGTTTTCATCAATTATCGACCTTCATCGGTCCTTCAAG